ATTCACACCGAATATTTTTAAATCTTCCAAATATCAGAAATTTTGAAAATTTTTTGGCAATTTTTCCTAAACCAAAATTTTTCAATGTGAAAATTTCGGCCAATTTTCCATAATTTTCGATATTCAACTTCATTTCTTCGAACTCCTACTTTTAACACTTTTCCAGAAAAAATGATGCAGTTTTTTTATTTAAAAAAATATATATTTTCACACTGAGTATTTTTAAATCTTGCCTAAGGAGCATAAACACGCTGTTTTTGGAATCAGCACGACGAAATCTGTGTCCCAGAAATTTTTGATAATTTTTTAGCAAGTTTTCCAAAACCAAAATTTCTCAATTTTTTTAAAATCTCGGCCAATTTTCCACAATTTTAGAAATGTATCTACTAGAAAACTAGATAAATTGCAAATTAAAAATTGAAAAATCATGAAACTGAAAACTCTAAAACTGAAAAAACGATTAATAGCAAATCGAAAAATTGAAAACTACAATAATTGGAAAATTTATCAAAATTTCGGCCAATTTTCCACAATTTTCAAAATTCTACGAATGATATATTTTGATGGATTTCGATCTCCAGAAACACGACCAAATCTACATATATCCCAGAATTTTTTGGAAAATTTTCAAAACCAAAATTTTCTAATACGAAAATTTTGGCCAATTTTCCAAAAATTTGAAACTCCTACTTTTAACACTTTTCCAGAAAAAATGTTGCAATTTTTTTTATTTAAAAAAAATATATTTCCACAAAATTTTTTCGGAATCCTATGAAAATTTCGGCCAATTTTCCACGATTTTCGAATTTTAACTTGACCTCCAGAAGCACGACAAAATCTACATTTATCCCAAAATTTTTGGAAACTTTTTCAAAACCAAAATTTTTTAATAGCCTCCCACCCATGAAAATTTCAGGCAATTTTCCGAAATTTAAAAAATTTAATGAAAGATGTTTTTTGAAAGATTTATTAAAAAATATATGTTTTCAAACGAATATTTTTAAATCTTCATGTTTTCAGAATCACCACGATGAAATCTATTTCCCAGAATTTTTTAGAAAATTGTTGGCAACTTTTTCAAAACCAAAATTTTTCAAAACTCCTCCCTTATGAAAATGTCGTCTTCCTCTCTGTGTCTATTTTTGTCTCTACCTATATCTCTGTGTGTTCTATATACCATACCGAGTGTTTTGTTTACAGTGTGCCTCAACAATTAATGATATATCGGAAACGCACACTTAGTGAGTCACCATGTATAACAGAAAAAATAGACATTTTTTTAGATTTCAACCTCTAGAAGCACGAGGAAATCTACGTTTATCCCAAAATTTTTGGAAACTTTCAAAACCAGAACTCTTCAATTTTTCTTTTTCTTAAAAAAAATATTTTCAAACGAATATTTTTAAATCTTTATATCTTTAGAATCACCACGACAGAATCTATAATTCAGAATTTTTTGGAAATTTTTTGACATCAAATACAAAATTTTTCAAAATAAAATATTGTATGAAAATTTCGGCTATTTTTCGACAATTTTCTAAATATAATTAAAGACATTTTTTTTATAAATTTCGAACACCATAAATTATATTTGGCGTCATTTCTTCGGTAGTTCCCACTATTTTCCCAGACTCGCTTTGGATGAAAAAAAATTCAAATCGAATATTTTTAAATCATGCCTAGGAAGCATTACCAAGCGAATATTTTCGGACTCAGCACAACGAAATCTATTTCTCAGAATTTTTTGAGAATTTTTTGTGAATTTTTCCAAAACCAAAATTTTACAATATGAAAATTTCCGCCACTTTTCCTCGATTTTCGACATTTATGCAGACATTTTTTTTATAAATTTCGACTTCCAAAAGTTGATTTGAGCTTCATTTCTTCGTTAGCTCCTATCATTTTTCCACAATGGCCCACTGGTGCTGAGTTTCAGTACTGCAAATTTTTGAATTTAAAAAAATGTATTTTTTCAAACCAAATATTTTTAAATCTTGCACCTGGGGCATTAAAACGCTATGTTCTCCAGAACTTAGTTTCAGCTTCATTTCTTCGATAGCTCTTACTATTTTTCCAGGATGCAATTTTTTGAATTTGAAAAACCGAATATTTTTCAATCCTGCACCGTGGGCATAAACTTGCTATATTTTGGGAATCCGATAACAAAATCTACATCCCAAAATTTTGTGAGATTCTTTTTGGTGACATTTTCAAAAGCAAAATTTTTCCAAATGATTATTTCGGCCAATTTTCGACAATTTTCAAAATTTAACGAAGACACTTTCTTATAGATTTCGACCTCCAGAAGTTGATTTCGGCTTCATTTCTTCCATAACTCATCCCATTTTTCCAAAATCGCCCACTAAAATATGTACTGCGATTTTTTGGTTTAAAAAAAATATTTTCAAACCCAATATTTTTTAGATCTTGCACCGGAAGGACAAAAACGCTGTTTTCGGAATAGCACCAGAATTTTTTGGAATGAATTTTTTCAGAGTTTTTCCAAAACCAAAATTTTTCGATATGAAAATTTCCTCCAATTTTCCACAATTTTAGAAATTGATCTGAAGACATTCTTCGATAGATTCCGACCTCCAGAGTTAGTTTCAGCTTCGTTCTTCTTCGATCGTTCCCACCATTTTTCCAGAAACGCCCATTGAAGTATTGCGATTTTTCGGATTTGAAAAAAAAAATCAAACCCACTATATTTTGGGACAAATTTGGAGGATTTTCGACATTTAATCATTTTCACATTTTTTAAGATTTCGACCTCCAGAAGTTAGTTTCGACCTCATTTCTTCCATAGCTTCTACTATTTTTCACGACGAAATCTATATCTCATAATTTTTTTGGCAACTTTTTCAAAAGCCAAATTTTTCAATAGTCCCTCCCTATAAAAATTTCGGCCATTTTTCGACAATTTCCAAAATTTAACTAAATACGGATAATATGGATTTCAATGTCCAGAAACACGACGAAATCTACTATGTCCCACGATTTTTTTTGGAAAATTTTTGACAATTTTTCCAAACCAAAATTTTTCTAGAGCTCTTCCCTATATTTCGGCCAATTTTCCACAATTTTGAAATTTTAAGCAGACATTTTTTTGAGAATTCGACCTCCAAAACCACGACGAAATCTACGTTTATCCCAGAACTTTGGGAAACTTTTTCATTAAAAAATATATATTTTCAAAGGAATATTTTTAAATCTTTATGTTTTCAGAATCACGACGAAATTTTTTTGGAAATTTTTGGAAACTTTTTCAAAACCAAAATTTTTCAAAACTTCTCTGCCTGTTTTTGTCCCTACCTCTTTCTACCTTAATTTCTCGATTCCTGTCACTTTATGTATGTACATCCCTGTATCTTCTCTTCATCCCTCTGTCTCTTTATCTGTCTGTTTCTGATTTTGTTTCTCTGTCTATCTATTTTTTTGTATTTCTTTATTTCACTATCTCTCTATATCTATCTTTCTATTAGAGATAAAAAAAATCTTAAACTGCACAAACTGAAATTATTTTCAACCATGCCGAGTGTTTTGTTTATCGATCCATAAAATTTAATTAAAATAAAATGTAACAGAAAATATGTTGGCGTTATAAAAAAAATCTTGGACACTCGGTATACTAATATGATTACCATTTTTAGATTTATAAAGTTTTAAAATTTGAAAATTTATGTGGATCACTAGGACGGTTGTTGACCTAGGTTTCGTCCTTTATGCTTAATCGTCGACAACCGTAATATAAAAATACTTACTATGTATTATTGAGAAATCCGCTTGTCTTATCTATAACGTATTGTTAATTATAACAACAAAATGATATTCGAATTGTAATAAAGAAAATATTTAATTTAATAGATTATTGACAACTCTTGAAGTGAAATTTTTCAAAAACGGTTTAATGATTATTATTTTTTGAGGAAAGTTATATGAAGGGTAAATCAATTCAAAGAACATTGACTTATTGATAAAAACTTATTACCAAATATATCAATAATTAAAAATTTGTATTAATTATTATCTGCCTATCTTCGACTTTTATTAATAAACCCACAAAAATAAAAAAAAAAACGATAACGACATACAATTTAATTTGAACCTTTGAAATAAAGAAATTATCATCGAGTAAGTATTTTTGTACAATTATAACAAACACCTATACGACCTTAACGATAACTTACTGACCTTAGATTTATTAACCCGAGTGGAAATACACTTGCTCCACCCAAGTTCTATGAACTTAACACACTTCTATCACTCTAGTCGGTCCTTTAGATTTTTATCCTGTAAAAAAGCACTTTTCGGCTAAACCAATAGAAATCAGTAGAACTAGATTTCACTTAATTAACGAGCTTAAAACTCCAGGGGCTTCCACACGCCATTAACACAATTCCGAGCGAGTCAGTCCGAGTCGATACTCAAGTGTTACTAAAACCCCAACACACTGTATGAATAATAGCATGTAAGGATAAAACGAACACACTCTTTATAAATAATAAAAGTTATCGGTGTTTATGACGATGCTCGTAACAACAGCGGTTATTAATGTCAGAAAAAGCCGCTTCGACCCCAGTCAGACGCTCCTTCAGCTGTAACATAGTCGTGGAAACCAAAGTGAAAAATAAATCGAATTATTCTCAAATCAGCTACTCCAGACAAATGAACGGCTTAGACCGAACGAAATACGAAAAGGTGAGGAAAAATTCTACACACATCTGACGAAACCGAATTATCGCTGAATCAGACTTAATTAAAGGAAGCTTTTATAAGTTTTACGCGAAACAATGCACCCGCTCCATTCATACAAGAATTTGTTAAAAATAAACCCAACTGGGAGATAATCCCGGACTGACGAACCAATTAAATGGGTGTGCGGCCCGAAATTGAATTAATACTTAGAGAATGTTGGAGTTTTAATGGGAGTGAATAATTCATCGCATTATTAATTCGGAGACTTATCGTTTTCTGCAGTAATAATGTGCAAATTGTTTCAGTTATGCTACAGTGGACAAAAGTGCCAGAGAATTCCGGAGGCTTTAGTAAAATTATATGGGGCTAAAGTACAAAGCCTGGATCTGAGTTACAATGAATTAGTCACTTTGAAAGGTTTGGAAGGATTTCCCTTGCTGAGGGAGCTGGTATTGGATAATAATCAACTTACAGATGCACTCGTGCTGCCGTACTTGCCGCACTTACACACGCTTTCGCTCAACAAAAACCAGGTCAGTATTATATTGTTGCCATAGGCGTCCCATACATATTTATTTTCGTTCTATTGTGATTTTCAGATAACTGATATTGAATCTCTCATTACAAAAATCCGACATAATCTACCAGCTATTACTTACTTAAGTATATTAGGAAACAAAGCTTGCCCTAACCAGCTCTCTAATATCGACAACGATGAAGAGGATTATCAAAGATACAGGTGAGCTTGTTTCTAAATTGTAAGACGAAAGTGGCGTAGAAAATTCGCTGAATACAATTTGTTTAGTTTTTGTGGCCCTAGATTTAAAATTGGAATTTCGAAACGACAATAAATGCAGTTCAGAGTGTATCATCGCCATCGGTTCAATAGGAAAATTACTCCTCGTTTCAGAAAAAAACAGCAACAAACTTGCGATAAAAGAATATAATCTGAATATCAAAAACAAAAATTTATATTTGCGTTCTATTTAAAGAAAAAATAAAGCGCCAGTTTAAGAACTGTCAAAACGGAGATCTTCAATTTTTTCGTATTTTGTTACAATATTTCATTTTAATTTTGCTTCTTTTACATTGTTTCTATTTTATTTAGATTCTCCTTCCAACGATTTTTCAATTCTCTTGTTTAATGATATATATTTAGTTCTAAAATCTAAATAGAATCTATGCGAATTTTTTGTCCATTTTTTGACAATTTTCCAAAATTTCAACCATTTTTCGAGCAACTGTATACAAAAATCACCTGGAAAGATTTTTTGTAGATTTCGAGGTCCAGAAGTGGTTTTCAACTTCATTTCTTCAAAAATTCCTACCATTTTTCCAAAATTTGACTCTGAAACCAAATATTTCGAAAATCTTAATCTGAAACTATAAAACTCTATATTTTTCAATTCAACTCGTCGAGATTTATATTTCAGATTTTTTTGTCGATTTTTAATCAACTTTCCAAAAGCTCAGTTTTTCGATGCCATGAAAATGATAAAATTTCCAACCATTTTTCGACTAACTTCGAAAATTATTTAAAGGGATTTTTTGGAGATTTTGACATCCAGAAGTCATTTTTGGTTCCATTCTTACGATTTTTCCAAAATTTCGGCTTTCCATTTCTTCAAAAATTCCTACCATTTTTTTTCAAAATTTGACTTTCGAAAATCTTAATCCGGGATTAAGTTCAGCTCGTCGAAATTTAAATTCCAGGTTTTGTTGTGGATTTTAGTCTACTTTTCATAAGCTTAATTCTTCAATGGAATTTTAAAAATTATTAAATTTTCAACCATTTTAAAAGGATTTTTGTACACTTTTTTAAAATCTCAATTTTTCGATGAAATTATGAAATTTTCAACCTTTTTTGGACCATCTTAATTTTTGGCTTAATTTCTTCAAAAATTCCTATCATTTTTCGAAAATTTTCTACCAGTTTTTCAAAATTTGACTTTGAAACCCAGTATTTTGAAAATCACAATCCGGGACTCTAAACCTCCTATATTTTTCAATTCAGCTGGTCGAGATTTATATTTCTGAATTTTTTTTTTTGGGGGGATTTTTAGGCAACTTTACGCTAGCCCAATTTTTCGATGTATTATCACAATTCTGAAATTTTTTTGCAATTTTTTGACCACGCTCGAAAATTAGTTGCAAGGATTTTTGTAGATTTTGACCTCGTCGAGATTTATTTATATTGCATAATTTTTTTCTGGATATTTAGCATTACTTTTCAAAAGTTATTAATTAAATTAAGAAATTTTCAACCATTTGTCGACGATGTTCAAAAATTACCTGAAAGTATTTTTTTTTGTAGATTTTGACCTCCAGGGAGTATTTTCGGCTCCATTTTTTCGAAAATTCTTACCTTTTTTCCAAAATGTTATTTTGAAACCAAGTCGAAATTAATATTATGAAAATTATGAAATTTTCAACCATTTTTCGACCACCTTCGAAAATTATCTGCAGGAATTTTTTGTAGATTTCGGTGTTCAGAAGTCATTTTCCGCTTCATTTCTTCAGAAATTCCTACCATTTTTCTAAAATTTTACTTTGAAACCGAGTATTTCAAAAATCTTAATCCGGGACTATAAACCTCCTATGTTTTTCGATTCAACTAACCGAGATTTATATTTCAGATTTTTTTGTCAACTTTCCAAAAGCTCAGTTTTTTGATACCATGAAAATGATAAAATTTCCAACCATTTTTCGACTAACTTCGAAAATTATTTAAAGGGATTTTTTTGTAGATTTTGACATCCAGAAGTCATTTTCGGTTTCATTCTTACGATTTTTCCAAAATTTGTCTTTAAAACCGGGTATTTTGAAAATCGTAATCCGGGACTCTAAACCTCCTGTATTTTTCGATCCAGCTCGTTGAGATTTATAATCCAGAATTTTTTGTGGATTTTTAGGTAACTTTTCGAATGCCTAATTTTTCTACGAAATTACGAAAATTATGAAATTTTCAACCATTTTTCGACCACTATGTCTGAAATTATCTGAAGGGATTTGTTTGTAAATTTAGAGGTCCAAAAGTCATTTTCGGCTTTCCATTTCTTCAAAAATTCCTACCATTTTTTTTTTTTTTCAAAGTTTGACTTTAAACTGAGTATTTCGAAAATCTAAATCTGGGATTAAGTTCAGCTCGTCGAAATATACATTCCAGATTTTGTTGTGGATTTTAGTGTACTTTTCATTAGCTGAATTCTTCAATGGAATTATAAAAATTATGAAATTTCCAACCATTTTAAAGTGATATTTTGTACACTTTTTTAAAATCTCAATTTTTCGATGAAATTATGAAATTTTCAACCTTTTTTGGACCACCTTCAAAATTATCAAAAAGAATTTTTTGTAGATTGCGACGTCCAAAAGTCATTTTTGGCTCATTTCTTCAAAAATTCCTATCATTTTTCCAAAATTTTCTACCAGTTTTTCAAAATTTGACTTTGAAACCCAGTATTTTGAAAGTCGTAATCCGGGACTCTAAACATGCATATTCAAAAATTTTTTGTAGATATTTTTCGACCACCTTATCTGAAATTATCTGAAGGGATTTGTTTGTACATTGAGAGGTCCAAAAGTCATTTTCGGCTTCATTTCTTCGAAAATTCCTATCATTTTTTTCCAAAATTTGTCTTTCAAACTGAAAATTTCCAAAAACTTAATGCGGAACTTTAAACCTATATTTTTGGATTCAACAGAATTTTCCAAGATTTGTTTGTGGATCCTTAGGCAACTTTTCTAAAGCTCAGTTTTTCGATGACATAAAAATTATGAAACTTTCAACCATTTTGAAGGGATTTTTTGTAGATTTCGACATTCAGAATCATTCTTTTCTTCGGAAATTGCTACCATTTGTCCAAAATTTGACTTTGAAATCGAGTATTTCGAAAATTTTAATACGAGACTATAAACCTATATTTTTGGATTCAGCTGGTCGAGATTTATGTTCCAGATTTTTTTGTGGATATTAGTCCACTTTTCAAAAGATCAATTTTTCTATTAAATAATAAAAATTATAAATTTTAACCCATTTTTCGACCACATTTGAAAGTGATCTGAAAGGCTTTCTGTAGATTGCGACGTATAAAAGTCATTTTTGGCCTAATTTCTTCGAAAATTCCCTCTATTTTTCCAAAATTTTACTTTAAAACCGAGTATTTTAAAAATCTTAATCTGGGACTCTAAACCTCCTGCATTTTTCGATTCAACTCACCGAAATTTATAATACAGAATTTTGTGTGGATTTTTAGGCAACTTTTCGAAAACCCAATTTTTCGATGTAATCATAATTTTTTAACCATTTTTCTACCACGTTGGAAATTTTTTTTTTCAAATTTTGACTTTGAAACCGAATATTTTGAAAATCTTAATCTCCTATATTTTTCGATTCCGCTCGTCAAGATTTCGTATTCCAAATTTTTTGTGAATTCTCAGTCAAATTTTCAAAATTTTTCGACCATTTTTCGACCACCTCCTAAAATTATTTGAAAAGTGTTTTTTGTAGATTTCGACCTCCAGAAATAATTTTCAGCCTCATTTCCTCGAAAATTCCTACCATTTTTCTAAATTTGACTTTAAAACAGGGAATTTCAAAAATTTTAAGGGACTATAAACCTATATTTTTGGATCCACCTTGTCGAGATTTATATTCCAGAATTTTTTGTGGATTTTTAGGCGACATCCAGAAATCACAAAAAATCATCAGTTTTCCTCTAATCAATGTACCAGAATTGTTTCATTAGAGAAATAAAAATTAAAAAGTTTCATCAAATTTTCCTTTGGTTTAAAAAAATTAAGTTCGAATATTTCATTTTTAATTTTACTTCGTCTACATCTTTTCTATTTTTTCGATTCTTTTTTGGATTTTAAGGCAAGTTTTTAAAAATTCAGTTTTTCCATCACATGAAAATTTTCAATTTTCAGCCATTTTTCGACCACCTTTAAAATTACCTGCAAAGACTTTTTTGTAGATTGCGACGTCCAAAGGTCACTTTTGGCTTAATTTCTTCAAAAATTCCTAACATTTTTCCAACAGTTTCTACCAGTTTTTAAAAATTTGACTTTGAAACCGAGTATTTTGAAAATCGTAATCCGGGACCCTAAACCTCCTATATTTTGCGATTCAGCATATTCCAGAATTTTTTATGTGATTTTAGGCAACTTTTCGAAAAGATTTTTTTATAGATTTCGACAACCAGAACCTATTTTTAGCTTCACTTTTTCGAAAATTCCTTCCATTTTTTTATCGAATGTTTCGAAAATCTTAATCCGGGACTACAAACCACCTACATTTTTCGAATCAACTTGTCGAGATTCATATTCTAAATTTGTCTGTGGATTTTTAAGCAACTTTTCGAAAGCTCAATTTTTCAGTGACATGGAAATTATGACATTTTCAGCCATTCTTCGACCCCCTTCAAAAATTATCTGAAGGGATTTGTTTGTAGATTTAAACGTCTAAAAGTCATTTTCGACTTCATTTTTTCGAAAATTCCTACTATTTTTTTCCAAAATTTAACTTTGAGACTCAGTATTTCGAAAATGTTAATCCGGGACTTTAAGCCTACATTTTTCGATTTAACTCCTCGAGACAGAATTTTCCAGAATTTTTTGTGGATTTTTAGGCAACTTTGCAAAAACTCATCTTTCCAATAAAATTATGAAAAACATGAAATTTTCAACCCTTTTTCGATCACGTTGAAAAATTACCTCCACCAAGTCATAAAAGAACTTATATTAGTAACTAGTAGTAAAAAAAAAAAAAACACCACATTCGAAACATTTTGTATATTCACAAAACAACAAAGTTCGATTTTCCTCCAATGAAAAAAAAAATCACAAAGGTTCTTCAAATTTTCTTCGACTTCAAAAAAATTATATTCGAATATTTCATTTTTGTTCTAACGGGTTTTCAGTTGTCTTGTTTTAATTGTTTTCTATGCTTAGTTCTGTAAGTTTTTACCTTCATTATCGATTTTATTTTCCTTCACCTTTTTTTTTTGTTCTTCGTTATCCTCGCAGTCCTTACTGAGAATTTTAGTTGGAGAAATCCTTGTTTATTATGACCTTAACTAGATAAAAATGGATTTATTTTTAAAAATTTGCGTTAATTAAAAGTTTTTGTACTTAGGTGAACTATTTGTATTAACTCAAGCCAAATTTTTTATCCCTTTAACTTTTTTCTGTAACATAACATTAAAAAAAGTCTGTGGTAAACCCAATCCGTGGACATACTGTATATTGAGAAAAATTTTAACTTTCTTGTAATAAGACTACAATATCTCATATGAAAAAAAATAATCACAAAGTTCTTCAAAAATTCCTTTGGCTTTGAAAATATTTTGTTCGAATATTTCTACTTCTTCTAAGGACTTTTTCGTTCTTTTAATTGCTTTTCTTTGTATCCCAGAATTTTTTGTGGATTTTTGGACAAATTTTCCAAAAGTTGTAAAATTTTCAACATTCTTTCAACCACATTCAAAAATTACCTAAACAGATTTTTCTATAGATTTCGACCTCCATAAGTTATTATTGACTTCATTTCTTCGGAAATTCTTACCATTTTTCTAGAATCATTAAATGAAATAAATACGGCAATTTTTTAAACTTTAAAATAATTTAATTTGAAACAATTTGTTTCGGGACCATCAAGACGTTATCCACATTTTTTTTGTATATTTTTAAGCAACTTTTCCAAGAACGTTAAAAAGTTTTTTTTTTAATGAAATATGGCAATTTTAGAAATTTTTACAAAATTGAAATTTTAAACCGAGTATTTCAATTTCGAAAATCTTTTTCGACTCCTTTTCGATCATCTTCAGAAATTATCTGAAGAGATATTTTTGTAGATTTCGACGTGCAGAAGTCATTTTCCACTCTATTTCTTTGAAAGATCCTACCATTTTTCCAAAATTGCCACATGAAATATAGCAATTTTAAGCATTTTTACAAAATTTGACTTTTGAAGTGAGTATTTTGAAAATCTAAGACCGAGACCATAAATATCCTATATTTTTGGATTCAGCTCGTGAAGTTCTATATCTCAGAAATTTTCGACGATTTTTCAAAGAATTTTTTTTGTAGATTTTCGCCTCCAAATGAAAAATACGTCCACTTTGTGTATTTACAAAACAATACGGTTCAATTTTTCTCTAGTTATCTTCCTTATTTATTATGATCTTTTTCTTTTTCTTCACACTCTTGTTTTTTTTTTTTTGTCAAACAAAAATCTTCTTTTTACCTATATTTCCCTCGAGGCGTCCATTTTATCCTATTTCTACTTTTTAAAACAAGAATCCACACTGTAGGAATGTTATAAATGTTATAGACTAGATCAACAGTTATGCACGAATTGAAAACTAGGTCGGAAAATTTACGATTTTCCACGACACGGGTCATTAAAACGAACTATGACAGCACCCATAAGTAAACAACTTCCAGGATGCCAAGAATCTGGTCAACCTGGCGCGAAATTACTAAAAAACACAAGAGAAGTGATGCCTCGAGATTCGAGCGAAATGACCTCGACGACCCCTTTGTTCTCCGCGATAAGGGCCACATTCGCTTAATGTAGTGTCTCTAACATTGATGCGGTCGCTCATCGGAATTTTCTAGCCACAAAAAAAATTTGAACATTTTCGTTCTAAGAAGTCTAAAACTTGAGTAACACAATGTACATTTATGTGTCAGTCGTAGCATTTACTTTTGCCTAACAAATAAAACTTTATGTCGTCTGATAGTGTAAAGTTTCGTTTTTTCAGATATTACGTGTTGCATTATCTCCCAACATTGAAGTTTTTAGATTCGAACAAAGTGCGGGACTGGGAAAAGGACGAAGCACGACGTCGAGGGCAATTTATGAAAATTGTCAGGCCCAACACATCAAACATAAATGAGAACGTTCCAAACAATACCATTCCAAATTCTTTTACACCATTACCCAAGTCAATAAGGAACCCCAACGACTACAGAGGTATGCGCTATGGAAGTTATGGCTACGGAACATTATCGAAATCGTATTGACGTATTTCGTCGCCAGTGAACGGAAGCATATAAATTTCAGGAATAAATGAGACGTAACGTAAATTCACAGACTTTATAAAATCGAAATAGAACCTGCATTCCTAATACATACGAATCGGAGTCTCACTTCCATATTTATTCAGTTTCATTATTCAAGCATAGATTAATATAGATGCGACATATAGGCTGATTTTGCAAAACCACCCTTATTGACATTGGAGGCAAGCGCCAAATTTAAATAGTCGATGCCAATAAAAAAACTTGTTTTAATACAATTCGTCGCCTGAGAACTTGTTTGATCTACTGACCGGAGCGCGCTCAAGCCAATGTCGACTCTAAGCGTTCAGTAGCGATTTGGTTGGTTTGGACTATAATTTGTGCGGGAAATAGTTGTTTTTTGCATATTTTGTTTAACTAAGAATTAATTCTTTATTTGTGTTTTATACTAGCAAAACGTCTCAAACTAAGAATATTGTTGAAATCGTAATAACCCAATGGATTTTTTTCGGGAAAATGTTTTGGAAACACTGTGTATGAATTTTTAAATGTTTTTAGTGACCATTTTTGTGGTTGTTTCGATACACTGTATGATATTAACAGTGAGAAAAAAATAATGAAAAATTAAAATCGAAACCTTAAAAATCGTAACACCGCATTTAAAAAATCGGGTAACCGAAAAATCGAAACATCGAAAAACTGGAAAATCGAAAAATCAAAAGATGAAGAAATCGTGGAGTCGAAAAGTCGTACAATTGAGAAACCGAAATAGGCCAAAATCTAAAAATCGAAAAGTTAAAAATTGAACAATTTATAAATTCAGAAATTGACAATCAAAATATCGAAAAATCCGAATCTCGATAAATCGAGAAATCAAAAAACCTAAGAATTCGAAAAATTGAAAAATTGAGAGATTGAAAGATCAAAACAACGGGAAATCGAAAAATAGAGAAATCGACAAACAAAAAGTTAAAAGTTGAAAAATTGGAAAACCGGAAAAATCAAAAAACGAAAAAATGGAAAACTGGAAAAACTGAGAAAGCGAAATAGGCCATAATAAAAAATTGAGAAAATGATAAATCGAAAACCTGAACCTGAAATCGGGAATGAAAAATCGAAAAATTGAAAAACAAAACATCTAAAACCAGGAAATCGAAAAATAGAAAGATTAAGAAATATTGAAAAATTAAAATATCAAAAACTTTAAAAATCCAAAAATTTAAAAATCGAAGAAGTAAAAACGTAGACACATCGAAAAATCCAGAAGTCAAAAACAGAAAACCCGAAGAATTGAAATACTGAAAAATCCTAAAACTGAAATATCTAAAAACTGAAAAATCGAAAAATCAAAAAGTGAAGTCGAAAAATAGAAACCTTAAAAATCGAAAAATTGAAAAATCAAAAAATTAAAGAATTGAACAGCAGGAAAATCGAACCACTCGAAGGTCAAGAAATGGGAAAATCAAAACATCGATTAACTGAAAAATCGAAAAATTGAGAGTTTATAAAAGTCAAATTTGAAACATTAGAAAATCGAAAATTTGACAAAATGATAATTGAAAAACAGAAAATCTAAAACCGGGAAGTCGAAAAATCGAAAGATTAAGAAATCGAAACATTTGAAAAATTCGAAAACTTAGAAAAATTGAAATATCCAAGAACTGAAATGAAACCTCGAGAAATCTAAAAGTGATAAAGTCGAAAAATCGAAAAATAGAGAAATCGACAAACAAAAAGTTAAAAGTCGAAAAATTGGAAATGCGGAAAAATCAAAAAACGAAAAAATGGAAAACTGGAAAAGCTGAGAAATCGAAACAGGCCAAAATAAAAAATTAATCGAAAAGCTGAACAATTAACTCTCGATAAATCGATCGGGAATGAAAAATTTACAAATCGAAAAATTGAAAAACAGAAGATCTAAAACCAGGAAATCGAAAAATCGAAAGATTAAGAAATATTGAAAAATTAAAATATCAAAAAGTAAAAAAATTGAAATATCGAAGAACTGAAATAAATGAAAACTCGAGAAATCGAAAAATTAAAAATTTTAAAAACCAAAAATTTTAAAAATCAAAAATTCTAAAATTTAAAAATCGAAAAATTGAAAAATCTAAAAAATAAAAAAATCGACACATCGAAAAATCCAGGAGTCAAAAATCGAAAAATTGAGAGTTTATAAAAGTCAAATTTGAAACATTAGAAAATCGAAAATTTGACAAAATGACAATTGAAAAACAGAAAATCTAAAACCGGGAAGTCGAAAAATCGAAAGATTAAGAAATCGAAACATTTGAAAAATTCGAAAACTTAGAAAAATTGAAATATCCAAGAACTGAAATGAAACCTCGAGAAATCTAAAAGTGATAAAGTCGAAAAATCGAAAAATAGAGAAATCGACAAACAAAAAGTTAAAAGTCGAAAAATTGGAAATGCGGAAAAATCAAAAAACGAAAAAATGGAAAACTGGAAAAGCTGAGAAATCGAAACAGGCCAAAATAAAAAATAAATCGAAAAGCTGAACAATCAACTCTCGATAAATCGATCGGGAATAAAAAATTAACAAATCGAAAAATTGAAAAACAGAAGATCTAAAACCAGGAAGTCGAAAAATCGGAAGATTAAGAAATATTGAAAAATTAAAATATCAAAAAGTAAAAAAATTGAAATATCGAAGAACTGAAATAAATGAAAACTCGAGAAATCGAAAAATCAAAAATTTTAAAAATCAAAAATTTTAAAAATCAAAAATTCTAAAATTTAAAAATCGAAAAATTAAAAAATCGAAAAAGTAAAAAAATCGACACATCGAAAAATCCAGGAGTCAAAAATCGAAAAGTCGAAGAATCGAGATATTGAACAATCCCAAAACTGAAACATCGAAAATCTGAAAATTGAAAGAAAAACTAAAAACGGGGAACTAAATCGGGAAATGGAAAAAAAAATTCGAAAACTTGGAAAAATTGAAATATCCAAGAACTGAAATGAAAACTCGAGAAATCGAGAAGTGATGAAGTCGAAAAATCGAAAAATAGAGAAATCTACAAACAAAAAGTTAAAAGTTGAAAAATTAGAAAAGCGGAAAAATCAAAAAACGAAAAAATGAAAAACTGGAAAAATTGAGAAACCGAAATAGGCCAAAATAAAAAATTGAAGAACTAATAAATCGAAAACCTGAACAGTCAAATCTCGATAAATGGATCGGGAATGGAAAATTAACAAATCGAAAAATTGAAAAACAGAACATCTAAAACCAGGAAGTCGAAAAATCGAAAGATTAAGAAATATTGAAAAATTTAAATATCAAAAGATTGAAAAATCTAAAATTTTAAAAATCAAAAATTCCAAAATTTAAAAATCGAAAAATTGAAAAATCTAAAAAGTAAAAAAATCGACACATCGAAAAATCCAGGAGTCAAAAATCGAAAACTCGAAGAATCGGAAATATTGAACAATCCCAAAACTGAAACATAGAAAATCTGAAAATTGAAAGAAAAACTAACAATGAGGAGCTAAATCGGGAAATCAAAAAAAAATTCGAAAACTTGGAAAAATTGAAATATCCAAGAACTGAAATGACAACTCGAGAAATCGAAAAGTGATGAAGTCGAAAAATCGAAAAATAGAGAAATCGACAAACAAAAAGTTAAAAGTTGAAAAATTAGAAAAGCGGAAAAATCAAAAAACGAAAAAATGAAAAACTGGAAAAACTGAGAAACCGAAATAGGCCAAAATAAAAAATTGAAAAACTAATAAATCGAAAACCTGAACAGTCAAATCTCGATAAATGGATCGGGAATGAAAAATTAACAAATCGAAAAATTGAAAAACAGAACATCTAAAACCAGGAAATCGAAAAATCGAAAGATTAAGAAATATTGAAAAATTAAAATATTAAAAGATTGAAAAATCTAAAATTTTAAAAATCCAAAAATTGAAAAATCGAAGAAGTAAAAACGTAGACACATCGAAAAATCCAGAAGTCAAAAACAGAAAACCCGAAGAATTGAAATACTGAAAAATCTGAAAATTGAAAGAAAAACTAACAATGAGGAACTAAATCGGGAAATCAAAAAAAAAATCGAAAACTTGGAAAAATTAAAATATCTAAGAACTGAAATGACAACTCGAGAAATCGAAAAGTGATGAAGTCGAAAAATCGAAAAATAGAAAAATCGACAAACAAAAAGTTAAAAATTGAAAAATTGGAAAAGCGGAAAAATCAAAAAACGAAAAAATGGAAAACTGGAAAGGCTGGGAAAACGAAACAGGCCAAAATAAAAAAATGAAAAACTAATAAATCGAAAAGTTGAACAATCAAATCTCGATAAATCGATCGGGAATGAAAAATTAACAAATCGAAAAATTGAAAAACAGAACATCTAAAACCAGGAAGTCGAAAAATCGAAAGATTAAGAAATATTGAAAAATTAAAATATTAAAAAATTGCAAAACCTAAAATTTTAAAAATCAAAAATTCCAGAATTTAAAAATCGAAAAATTGAAAAATCAAAAAAGTAAAAAAAATCGAAAAATCCAGGAGTCAAAAATCGAAAAGTCAAAAAATCTAAATATTGAACAATCCCAAAACTGAAACATCGAAAATCTGAAAATTGAAAGAAAAACTAACAATGAAGAACTAAATCGGGATAACAAAAAAAAAAATTCAAAAACTTGGAAAAATTTAAATATCCAAGAACTGAAATGACAACTCGAGAAATCGAAAAGTGATGAAGTCGAAAAATCTAAAAATGGAGAAATCGACAAACAAAAAGTTAAAAGTGGAAAAATTGGAAAAGTGGAAAAATCAAAAAACGAAAAAATGAAAAACTGGAAAAACTGAGAAACCGAAATAGGCCAAAATAAAAAATTGAAAAACTAATAAATCGAAAACCTGAACAGTCAAATCTCGATAAATGGATCGGGAATGAAAAATTAACAAATCGAAAAATTGAAAAACAGAACATCTAAAACCAGGAAGTCGAAAAATCGAAAGATTAAGAAATATTGAAAAATTTAAATATCAAAAGATTGAAAAATCTAAAATTTTAAAAATCAAAAATTCTAAAATTTAAAAATCGAAAAATTGAAAAATCGAAAAAGTAAAAAAATCGACACATCGAAAAATCCAGGAGTCAAAAATCGAAAAGTTGAAGAATCGAAATATTGAACAATCCCAAAACTGAAACATCGAAAATCTGAAAATTGAAAGAAAAACTAACAATGAGGAACTAAATCGGGAAATCAAAAAAAAAAAATCGAAAACTTGGAAAAATTGAAATATTCAAGAACTGAAATGAAAACTCGAGAAATCGAAAAGTGATGAAGTCGAAAAATCGAATAATAGAGAAATCGACAAACAAAAAGTTAAAAGTTGAAAAATTGGAAAAGCGGAAAAATCAAAAAACGAAAAAATGGAAAACTGGAAAAGCTGAGAAACCGAAACAGGCCAAAATAAAAAATTGAAAAACTAATAAATCGAAAAGCTGAACAATCAAATATCGATAAATCGATCGGGAAGGAAAAATTAACAAATCGAAAAATTGAAAAACAGAACATCTAAAACCAGGAAGTCGAAAAATCGAAAGATTAAGAAATATTGAAAAATTAAAATATTAAAAGATTGCAAAATCTAAAATTTTAAAAATCAAAAATTCCAAAATTTAAAAATCGAAAAATTGAAAAATCGAAAAAGTAAAAAAATCGACACATCGAAAAATCCAGGAGTCAAAAATCGAAAAGTCGAAGAATCGAAATATTGAACAATCCCAAAACTGAAACATCGAAAATCTGAAAATTGAAAGAAAAACTAAAAATGAGGAACTAAATCGGGAAATCAAAAAAAAATTAGAAAACTTGGAAAAATTGAAATATCGAAGAACTGAAATGACAACTCGAGAAATCGGAAAGTGATGAAGTCGAAAAATCGAAAAATAGAGAAATCGACAAACAAAAAGTTAAAAGTTGAAAAATTGGAAAAGTGGAAAAATCAAAAAACGAAAAAATGGAAAACTGGAAAAACTGAGAAACCGAAATAGGCCAAAATAAAAAATTGAAAAACTAATAAATCGAAAACCTGAACAGTCAAATCTCGATAAATGGATCGGGAATGAAAAATTAACAAATCGAAAAATTTAAAAACAGAACATCTAAAACCAGGAAGTCGAAAAGTCGAAAGATTAAGAAATATTGAAAAATTAAAATATTAAAAGATTGCAAAATCTAAAATTCCAAAATTTAAAAATCGAAAAATTGAAAAATCGAAAAAGTAAAAAAATCGACACATCGAAAAATCCAGGAGTCAAAAATCGAAAAGTCGAAGAATCGAAATACTGAACAATCCCAAAACTGAAATATCGAAAATCTGAAAATTGAAATAAAAACTAAAAATGGGGAACTAAATCGAAAAATTTAAAACGACAATTGAAAACAGAAAATCTAAAACCGGGAAGTCGAAAGATCGAAAGATTAAGTAATCGAAAAATTGAAAAATCGAAGAAGTAAAAAAATCGACACATCGAAAACTCCAGAAGCTAAAAATTGAAAAGTCGATGAATCGAAAAATTGAAAAATGCCAAAACTGAAATATCCAAAAACTGAGAACCTAAAAAGTCGAAAAATTGAGCAATCGAAAAATCCAAAAAGTAAAGTCGAAAAATCGAAACCTTAAAAAAAACTAAAAAATAAAAAATCGAAAAATTAAAGAATTGAAGAACAGGAATATCGAAACCCTCGAAAGTCAAGAAATGGGAAAATCAAAAAACATCGATAATTTGAAAAAACGACAGTTAAAAAACTGAAAAATCCCAAAACAGAAATATCCAAAAACCGAGAATAAAAAAAATCAAACAATTGAGAAATCGAAAAATAAAAAAAGTGAAGTCGAAAAATTTAAAAAATCAAAAACTCGAAAAATTGAAGAGTTGAAGAAGAGGAAAATCGAAACACTCGAAAGTCAAGAAATGGAAAAATCAAAACATCGATTAATTGAAAAATCGAAAGACTGGGAGTTTGTAAGTAAAATTTGAAAAATTGAAAAATCGAAAATTTGATGAAAAAACGAAAAATTGAAAAACAGGAAATCTAAAACCGGAAAGTCGAAAAATCAAAAGGATAAGAAACCGTAACATTTGAAAAATTCGAAAAATTGCAATATTGAAGAATTGAATTGAAAAATCGACAAATCGAAAAATCTAAAATTTTAAGAATTGAAAAACTAAAATATCAAAAATTGAAAACTCTAAAATTTTAAAAACGAAAAATTGAAAAATCAAAAATGTTAAAAAATCGACACCGAAAAATCCAGAAGTCAAAAATCGAAAAATTCCAAAAATTAAATATCGAAAAACTGAAAAATTAAAGAAAAACTGAAGAATGGCAAAACTGAAAAATCCAAAAACTGAAATATGCAAAAACTGAGAATCCAAAAAACTGAAAAATTGAGAAATCGAAAAATAAAGAAAGTGAAGTCGAAAAATCGAATCTTTAAAAAAATCGAAAAATTGAAAAATCAAAAACTCGTAAAATCGAAAAATTGAAGATTGAAGCAGAGGAAAATCGAAACACTTGAAAGTCAAGAAATGCGAAAATCAAAATATGGATTAATTGAAAAATCGAAAAATTGGGAGTTTGTAAAAGTCAAATTTTAAAAATTGAAAAATCGAAAATTTGAAAAAAAAAGCGAAAATCTAAAGTCAGGGGGTCGAGAAATCGAATGATTACGAAATCGAAACATTTGAAAAATTCTAAAACTTGAAAAATTGAAATACCGAAGAACTGAAATGAAAAATCGAGAAATCGAGAAATCTAAAATTTAAAATATTGGAAAATTAAAATACCAAAAAATTGAGAAATCTAAAATCTGAAAATCGAAAAAGTAAAGTCGACACATCGAAAAATCCAGAAGTCAAAAATAGAAAAGTCGAAGAACAGAAGTATTGAAAAATCCCAAAACTGAAATATCGAAAAACTGAAAAATGAAAGAAAAACTGACGATCGAAAAACTGAAAAATCCCAAAACTGAGAATCTAAAGAATCGAAAAATTGAGAATCAAAAAAGTGGAGTCAAAATATCGAAACCTTAAAAAAATCGAAAAATTGAAAAATCAAAAACCTGCAAAATTGTAAGATCGAAAAATTGAATAACAAGTAAACTGAAAAATTAAAAATTGAAAAATTGAGAAATTGTAAAATCAAAAATTGAATAGGAGTAAACTGAAACGTCCCCAAACTAACATTTCGAAAAACTGAGAATTCGAAAGTTGAAATAGCAAGACGCTTAGAGTCGACATTGGCTTGAGTGCGCTCTGGTCTGTAGATCAAACAAGTTCTAAACGATGAATTGTAATTCGTGTGACTGAATTAAAGTGAAGGAAACAGCAAGCAACTTGTAATATTCTGGTAAATCTAGTGTCAATTTATCGAAAGTAAAACGCGACATTAAAAATATGACATTTTTTCTAGTTAATTTTATTCCTAGTAAGAAACAAACACTGTTGCCAACATAAGTCGAAGAGTCCTCAACCGTCATTTAATTTCAACTATGACGCTTTTCTATGTTCTCTGATTCAAGTGTCAAACGGGGAATTTGCCGCTTCCTAGAGATATGTAGCAATTCGCGATGTATAATTGGTTGCCTAATTTTATTTGTATTTTATAATAATTTCTGCAATTGTTTGATTAACGCTGTTTGTTTTAGGTGCATATGGCAAATGCAGATATCGATACAACGGTAAACATTCAGAGGGAAACAGGTTCATTTGTAACAGTGACCTTTAAAATTTACATATGAATTAAAATTCTAATATAAGCAGCTAGTTGCAGCGTTATTATTAGTCCACCCCACTAAAACCCGATGACGTCTTTATAAAAATTATTAAACAATTAAAACTGTGCAGAAAAGGTCACATGAATCCAAATTTAAATTAGAACTCATCCATCTCGCACTAATTCAATATAACTGGTTTGGCAATCAGTGTATTGGGAAAACATAAATCCCGATTCTCATATTCCTACCAACAAACTCCATAAAAACAACGCAGTCTTGTTTGCATTTGTACAGAGACCAATGGAACGGATTAATGTACCACTAGTAATGGAAGTTTCGATGAAAGTAGTTCGCAGCTGCAGTTTTCTCACGTAAAACATTGGAAATACCTAAAATTTATTTCCGTTGTTGGCGTCGTGACGCATCAAAAATGAAGTTTTACAAACAAACGAGGAACAAATGGTACGTGCTGATCCATGTCAGCGAGGATTAACAGATGTCGTCAAAGGACTTTTTTATTAAAAATTCCAGACTTATATTTTCAACTTCATCAACACTGTTATCACATCGCAGTCAAAATATACCTACTCGTTTTAATAGATATACTTAATCTATGTTGTTCCTAGGTTTATGATTCAGTAATGCGTCTTCAATTGTTCTCGACCAATTTTTGTGACAATCTGTTACAATATCGATGTAAAAACCGAAAGAAATGATGTCTTAAAAACATTTAAAACAAGTAAAATTGTTCAATGGTCAACGGGTTATGCCGACTTGGTGGCTTTTTGATTTATACACCAGATACACAATTGTAACAGAAATGAAGAATGAAACTGATAGAAAATAATTAAAACTTACCACAAGAAACACTAAGCCCCAAAGATCTCACCAAGTAATTTGTTTCTCTTGCTGAGATAAATCACCTGTTTTTCACACAAGAGACGGTAGGTAAGTTTTAAGATTTTCTGGATGTTGGTTTCAAGCTTTCGCTACTCTTTTGTAGATGGAGCTCCTAAGCAATTTCGAATTAGGTGACTAGATTGTAATTATTTTCAAGAAATAAATAAGGCTTTGGAATCCCACTTGAAGAGTAATTTATTATTAACTGGGTTCGTTTTTTTAAACGGTTTTTTTCTGTTATAAACTTTTAGTAGTTTTAATTAAATAGCTTTTTCTCTAAACTAGTGAGTATTTGTTATTTAACAGAGTCAAGGTTTCCTTAAAATTTTTAAAAATTTTAAAATTTGTGATGGCGCCATCTTTGGACTTACACTTGAACTACCTGGATGTCAATAAAACTGCAATTTCCTTGGAATACTATTCATTAAAGAAATTAATTTCATTAATTTGTATATTGTTCTAAAATTTTTAAAATTAGATCTGAAAAAGTTAGTTAAAAAAAAATAAATATTAATATATTTTTTTTTAGAATATATTATTTGTACTGTCAAAAAAAAGGAGATTAGGATGATCATGACTTTCATTCAAAACACCTTGTTTTTATTTATTTTATTCTGGCATTTTTGTCATGATTTTTCAGATTTGAAGTTTTTTGTGCTCTCAATAAATATTTCGATTTTTCAATTTTTGATTTGAACTCTCAATTTTTCGATTTTTCAATTAATCGATGTTTTGATTTTGCCATTTGGAGACTTTTTCTATTTTTCAGTTTTCAGTTTTTCAGTTCTTCAATTTTTTTCATTTTTCAGGTTTTCCTATTTTTTAAGGTTTCGATTTTTCCACTTCAGCTTTTTGATTTTTCGATTTTTCAATTTTTCAGTTTTTGGATATTTCAGTTTTTCCATTCTTCAGTTTTTCTTTCGTTTTTCAATTTTTCGTAATTTCAGTTTTGGGATTTTTCAGACTATTTATTATTCAATTTTTCGATTTTACAATTCCTCAGTTTTTTAATTTCTTGATTTTCAATTTTCCGATGTTTCAGTCTTACGTTTTTCAATTTTTCTCCTCTTCAATTTTACGATTTTTAAATATTTCGATTTTTCGATTTTTCAATTTTTGACTTACTTAAATTCCCAATTTTTCGATGGTTTTTTGATTTTCCCATTTCTTAACTTTCGACTGGTTCGATTTTCCAGTTCTTCAATTGTTCGATTTTCAATTTTTCAGTTTTTTGATTTCTCAATTTTTCTCCTCTTCAATTTTACGGTTTTTAAATATTTCGATTTTTCAATTTTTGACTTAAACTCCCAATTTTTCGATTTTTCAATTAATCGATGATTTTCCCATTCCTTGACTTTTTCAGTTTTTCAGTTCTTCAATTTTTTTATTTTTCAGGTTTTCCTATTTTTTAAGGTTTCGATTTGTCCACTTCACTTTTTTGATTTTTCAGTTTCCCAATTTTTTAATTTGTCAGATTTTGGATATTTCAGTTTTGGGATTTTTCAGTTTTTCTTTCATTTTATTTATTCTTCAATTTTCCGATGTTTCAATTTTACGTTTTTCCAATTTTTGTCCTCTTCAGTTTTACGATTTTTAAATATTTCGATTTTTCAAATTTGACTTTTATAAACTCTCACGTTTTCGATTTTTCATTTCTTCAATTCTTCAATTTTTCAATTTTTTGTTTCTCAGATTTTGGATATTTCAGTTTTGAGATTTTTCAGTTTTTTCATTCTTGAGTTTTTCAGTTATTCAATTTTTCGATTTTTCAGATTTTCCTATTTTTTAAGGTTTCAATTTTTCCACTTCACCTTCTTGATTTTTCGGTTTCTCAATTTTTCAATTTTTTAATTTCTCAGATTTTGGATATTTCAGTTTTGGAATGTTTCAGTTTGTCTTTCATTTTTCTATTTCGAAATTTTAGTTTTGGGATTTTTCATTTTATTTATTCTTCAATTTTTCAATTTTACAATTTTTCAATTTCACAATTTTCAATTTTTCGATTTCTCAATTTTCCAACGTTTCAATTTTCCGATGTTTCGATTTTACGTTTTTTCAAATTTGACTTTTATAAACTCTCACGTTTTCGATTTTTCATTTCTTCAGTTCTTCAATTTTTCAATTTTTTAATTTCTCAGCTTTTGGATATTTCAGTTTTGAGATTTTTCAGTTTTTTCATTCTTCAGTTTTTCAGTTCTTCAATTTATCGATTTTTCAGGTCTTCCAATTTTTTAAGGTTTCGATTTTTCCACTTCAGCTTCTTGATTTTTCGGTTTCTCAATTTTTCAATTTTTTAATTTCTCAGATTTTGGATATTTCAGTTTTGATATTTTTCAGTTTTTCTATTTCGAAATTTTAGTTTTGGGATTTTTCACTTTATTTATTATTTAATTTTTCGATTTTACAATTTTTCTCCTCTTGAATTTTACGATTTTTAGATATTTCCATTTTTCAAATTTGACTTTTATAAACACTCACTTTTTCAATTTTTTTGATATTTTTCAAATTATTTATTATTCAATTTTTCGATTTTACAATTTCCCAATTTTTCAATTTCTCGATTTTCAATTTTCCGATGTTTCGGTCCTACGTTTTATCGATTTTTCTCTTTAATTTTACGATTTTTAAATGTTTAGATTTTTCGATTTTTCAATTTTTGACTTTCCTAAATTCTCAATTTTTCGATTTCTCAGTTAATCGTTGTTTTGACTTTCCCCTTTCGACTGCTTCGATTTTCCAGTTCTTCGATTCTCCAATTTTTCAATTTTTGAATTTTCGATTTTTCGACTTCATTTTTTTCATTTTTCGATTTCTCAATTTTTCAGCTTTTTAGATTCTCCGCTTTTGGATATTTCAGTTTTGGGTTTTTTCAGTTTTTACATTCTTCAGTTTTTCTTCCATCTTTCAGTTTTCGGATTTTTGGATTTTTGACTTCTGGATTTTTCGATGTGTCGATTTTTTACTTTTACGATTTTTGAGTTTTTCAATTTTTAAATTTTAGATTTTTCCATTTATCGATTTTCCATTTTAATTCTTCGATATTTCAATTTTTGAATTTCTCGAGTTATCAATTTTTCGATTTTGGCCTATTTCGGTTTCTCAATCTTTTAATTTTTCGATTTTTCGGTTTTTCGATCTTTTGCTTTTCCGATTTTCGGTTTTTCGATTTTCCAGTTTTTTGATGTTTGGATTTTTCAAGTATCCGATTTTTCAATTTTTTGATTTTCAAATTTTTTGAAGTCGAAAAATATCGAAAAACAAATACTCCAAAATCGAAAAATCCAAAAGTTAAAAATTGAAAATTTGAAAATTTAAAACTAATAAAAAATAAAAACTTCAATAGAGCAACCCAAAAATTTAAAAATCGAAAAACTGAAAATTCAAAAATTTTAAAAATCGAAAAATTGAAAAACCGAAAAATCAAAAACTGACAAGTCGAAAAATGAGAAAAATTAAGACGGAAATATTGAACAACTGTAAAATCGAAAAATCGAGAAATCGAGAAATCGAGAAATCGAGAAATCGAGAAATCGAGAAATCGAGAAATCGAAAAATCCAAAGTTTAAAAAATTGAAAAATTAAAATATGTACAGAAAAACTGAAAAATCATAAAATTGAAATATCCAAAAAATCGAAAAAACAGAAAATCCAGAAATTGGAAAATCGAAAAAAATTGCACAATCTAAAAACTAAAAAATCGCGAAACTAAAACAAAAAAATTGAGAATTCTAAAAATTGGAAAATCTAAAAATTAAAAATTTAAAAAATCGAAAATTGGGAAATCGAAAAACTGAAGAAGGAACTAAAAAGTCTAAAAATCTAATAATTGAAAAGCCGAAACATCAAAAAAGTCTAAAAATATCGAAAAACAGAAATACACCAAAGTCGAAAAATCCAGAAGTTAAAAAATCAAAAATTGAAAATTTAAAACTGAAAAAAAAAAGAGAAAAATTAAAATTTCAATAGAGAAATCCAAAAAGTTAAAAATCGAAAAACTGAAAAATCAAAAATTTTCAAAATCGAAAAAGTGAGAAATCCAAAAATCAAAAACTGAGAAGGCGAAAAATCGAATCATCAAAAAACTGATAAAATCTAACATTTAAAAATTAGAAAAATTAAGACGGAAATATTGAACTGAAAAATTGAAAAATCGAGAAATCGAAAAATCGGGAAATCTGAAATTTAAAAAATTGAAAAATAAGGAAATTGAAATATCAGAAAAATCGAAAAAGCAGAAAATCCAGAAATTGAAAAAGTGAAAAATTGAGAAATCGAAAAGTCCAAATATCGAAAAATTGGAAAATCGAGAAAAACTGAACAATCTAAAAACTGAGAAATCGCAAAACTAAAACATCAAAATATTGAGAATTCTAAAAATTGGAAAATCAAAAATCCGAAAATTTAAGAAATCGAAAAATTCAAAATTTAAAAAATCGAAAATTGGGAAATCAAAAAACTGAAGAACTGAAAAATCGAAAAATCTAATAATTGAAAAGCCGAAAAATCGAAAAAGCGAGAAATCAAAAAATCGAAACATACAAAAATTGAAAAACTGAAACGTCGAGAAGTCGAAAAATATCGAAAAACAGAAATACCCCAAAGTCGAAAAATCCAAAAGTTAAAAATTGAAAAATTTAAAATTTAAAATTAAAAAAAATGATTAAATTTAAATTTCAATAGAGAAAGCTAAAAATTTAAAAATCGAAAAACAGAAAAATCAAAAATTTTAAAAATCGAAACATTGAAAAATCCAAAAATCAAAAACTGAGAAGGCGAAAAATCGAAATATCAAAAAACTGATAAAATCTAACATTCAAAAATTAGAAAAATTAAGACGGAAATATTGAACTGAAAAATTGAAAAATCGGGAAATCGAGAAATCGGGAAATCTAACATCTAAAAAATTGAAAAATCAAGAAATTGAAATATCAGAAAAATCGAAAAAGCAGAAAATCCAGAAATCGAAAAAGTGAAAAATTGAGAAATCGAAAAGTCGAAATATCGAAAAATTCGAAAATCGAAAAAAATTGAACAATCTAAAAAATGAAAAATCGCAAAACTGAAACATCAAAAAATTGAGAATTCTAAAAATTGGAAAATCAAAAATCCGAAAATTTGAGAAATCGAAAATTCAAAATTTAAAAAATCGAAAATTGGGAAATCGTAAAACTGAAGAACTGAAAAGTCGAAAAATCTGATAATTGTAAAGCCGAAAGATCGAAAAAGCGAGAATTCAAAAAATCGAAACATCCAAAAATTGAAAAACTGAAACGTCCAGAAGTCGAAAAATATCGAAAAACAGAAATACCCCAAAGCCGAAAAATCCAAAAGTTTAAAATTGAAAAATTGAAAATTTAAAACTATATAAAAATAAAAAAATTAAAAGTTCAATAGAGAAATCCAAAAACTTAAAAATTGAAAAACTGAAAAATCAAAAATTTTATACATCGGAAAATTGAAAAATCCCAAAATTAAGAACCGAGAAGTCGAAAAATCGAAAGATGAGAAAATCGAAATATCAAAAAACTGAAAAATTTAACATTTAAAAATTAGAAAAAATAAGACGGAAATATTGAACAACTGAAAAATCGAAAAATCGAGAAATCGAAATATCGAAAAATTGGAAAATCAAAAAACCGAAAAATCGAGAAATCGAAGCACTGAAAAGACCAACAATCTAATAACTGAAAAACCAAAAAGTCAAAAAAATCGAAAAGCGGTAAATCAAAAAATCGAAACGTCCAAAAATTGAAAAACTGAAACATCGAATAATAGAGAAATTGAAAAGTCGATTTTTCGTTTTTTGGTTTTTAAATTTTAGATTTTTCAATTTTTCATTTTTTAAATTTTGAAGTTTCGATTTTTCGTTTTCGGCTTTTAGATTTTAAATTTTCAGTTTTTTTGAAGCCGAGTAATCCAAAAATCGAAACATCCAAAAATTGAAAACCTGAAACGTCCAGAAGTCGAAAAATCGAAAAACTGAAAAATCTAACATTTAAAAATTAGGAAAATTAAGACAGAAATATTGAACTGAAAAATCGGAAAATTGAAATAGTAGAAAAATCGAAAAGCAGAAAATCCAGAAATCGAAAAAATGAAAAATTGACAAATCGAAAAATTGAAAAGTCGAAATACCGAAAAATTGGAAAATCGAACAATTCAAAATTTAAAAAATCGACAATTGGGAAATCGAAAAACTGAAGAACTGAAAAGTCGAGAAATCTAATAACTGAACCACTGAAACATCGAGTAACAGAAAAATTAAAAAGTCGAATTTTCCTGTTTCAGTTTTTAAATTTTAGATTTTCAAATTTTTCATTTTTTCGATTTTTTAAATTACACATTTTTGATTTTGAAAACTTAGATGTATGTTGTGAATATCGAGTACATAGTAAAATGCTACTCAAAATTAGATAGATGTTATAAAATAACAAAGTCCTGGACTTGTTGTTTATGAATCCGTTGAGTTTTTATACTACACATCCAGATTTTTGACAATTTAATTTTGAAGTTGCAAATTTATGACATCCTTTTAGGATTTTGACGAATAAATATTATTTAAAACGTTTTTTTATTAAATGGATTCGTTTTTTGTTTTAAAACATGTTTTTTTGACGTTTTTTTCCAGTGTTTTTTGTTTTAGCACTTTTAATTAAATGAATATTTAAAGTACACGTAAACTAGCAAGTATTTGTTATTTAATATAATCAAAGATAATTAAAATAATAATAAAACAAAAAATACGTCTCGCGTTTTATAACAAAAAAACCTGTTAAAAATAAAACAAACTGTACACAATAATTAAGATTTGGTGAATTTTGCCAAGCGCCAAATCAGATATGGTGTATTATGTGTTGCCTATACAAGAACCCTGAAAGAGCATAGAAAGTAGAAAAAAATTGATAAACAAAATATCCAGCTATTATTACAATTTTTATGTGTAGTTGTATGATTTAGCACCTCTCCTTTTTCAAACGCAGTGTAAAAAGCTGATATTGCAATTATTCACCCGTCTTGGGACATTGGCATTTTTATATTGTCGGCCATGAAAACCCCAAATTTCTAGACAGTGCCGCCTCGTTAAAACGCAACTAGTAATTAATTTCTCTAGGATAAAAACTAACTTAAGCCACCTGTCTTTGTATGCGAATGTGTTACACAGTGATTGCAATTAATGAGAAATTTTGATAAAAACCTAAGCGGTTTGACACTGTCGTTCTGTGAATTGGTGTCACTGCTACGAACGCCACTGTCCATTTACATAATCATGATCTGTCAGTGACATTTCTAGGGAATTTGAGTGACAGGCAAAACAGTAAACGTCGTTTGTTAAAGTTAATAAATATTAGAATATATTTATTATGATATCATAAGGGTAGGGCAAGTGCGACTATGTCCGATAATGCATTAAAACTAATAATTTTATAGTTCGTGGCACAAAATGGGTTAGTACAATGTTTACGTTAATGTTGTAAGTCAAAAACGCAACTTTGAACATGTTTCAGTAGAAGTGTTAGTGGAACACGACTACACCGCAAAGGAACCCAACGAATTAACAATCACGAAGGGCGATATTATCAAAGATGTGACCAAGAAGCAGGGCGGCTGGTGGGAGGGCACCTTGAGGGACAAGAAGGGCCTGTTCCCGGACAACTTCGTCAAAGTGATAGACAAAGACTCGTCGGTAGTGTTAAGGAACAGGAAAGACGCGTCCAGGATACGGCAGTGTAGGGTTGTGTTTAGCTATAAGCAGGACCACGAAGATGAGCTTAATTTAAATGTGGGTGATATCATCGATATATTGGGAGAGGAGGAAGAAGGCTGGTGGAGAGGGCTCCTCAACGGGAAGGAGGGCGTGTTTCCGTCGAACTTCGTCGAAGAAATTGTGCCTGTCCCAACTAAAATTAATACTAGCAGGGAAAACCTTACTAATAATAGCGGGAGCCATGAGCCAGTGCCGCCGCTTTTCGCTAAACCTGGTGAGTGGACACTTTCGAGATCGAGGTCTAGGTCTTGTGGTATTTGTTGCATAGATTCATGGCTCTAAAATCTCTGCTAATGCAGTTCTGGCTCAAGGATAAAATCATTCAGAATCTAAAAAATAGTTTGCTTTCTTTTTTTTTTTTTTTAAAACATAATTGGGGAACAATTTCCTGAAATTAATTATGTCTTGAAATTCACAAAGTATTCCAAATATGAATACGTGTTATGTGCGTTATTAGTGTAAAAATCAAATTATGAATGAGTCACACCAGCCAGTCACTTTGATTACATTTTTACATTATTTGTTTGATAACAAACTTGTCATCCACATTAACATACTCCTTTATTTTCTTGTACATAATTCTTGAGCAATTGATTTTTTTATATCTAGAACTGTCTGAAAAAAAAATTGGGAAAATGGTCATTAAGGCGAAATTTAAATATTAATACTATGAGATGACGTCACCAGTTTTTTAACGGGATCAAGAAACAAATTTTACCGTCCATACAGCTACAAGTACATATCAAGGTAATCAATTCAGCGGTCTCGGAGATAATCCGTGTCATAAACTCGCCAACACCTATATTTTACAATGCGTGAAATGCCAACAAAACATGAAATCAAAATGGTACTTTTATTAATTATTAGTTATCGCTCAGGAATTAAAAATAACAATAGTTAAGATTTTTTTATCGCGTGTACAGTAATAAAATAACAGTAAACTCCGAAACTACTGAACTGATTGTTGTCAAATTAATTATTTAATATTAAGGGAAATTTGATGATAAAAAAAAGAAGGCAAGACTTCTATCATTACGGGTACTAATAATTAATAACAACTAATAATAATTTAATACCATTATTAGTGATCAATTATTTTCGATATTCAATGTATATTTCAACGTAAAATGCTTTTTATTAAAGACCATTTAAATTTTATACTTACTATTATACTTGTACTTGTGGTTTATGAATCTACCCCGATTTTGATAATTATTAATGGATTCTTTCTTGTTTAAACTATCTTATTCGTTAGACACATTATACGAACTTCAATTGATAATTAAATCAAAGAATTTGAGAAATCTAGAAATCGAAAAGTCAAAAAATTTTAAAAATCGAAAAACCGAGATCTCAAGAAATCGAATCAAAAAATGGAAACATGGAAGAATGTAAAATTTAAAACGTTAAAAAATTGAAAAATCGAAAAACGAAAAATCTAAAATTAAAAAATCGGAAAATTGAAGAATCCAGAAACTGAAAAATCGCTATAAATCGAAAAATTCCAAAACTGGAAGGATGAAAAATTGGGACATAGGAAAGTCGGAAAATCGAAAAACGGACAATTCGAAAAGTAAAAAATTAAAAAATGGGGAATTGAACTTGAAATAATTGAAATTTAAAAATTGAAAAATGGAAAAAGTAATAACTTGAGAAATCGAAATTTTGAAAAACCGAAGAAAAAGTGAGAAGTGGAAAAATTGAACAATCAAATATTTCAGAAATCCAAAAGTTGAGGAATCGAAAAATCAAAAAGTCGATTAATCGAAAAATTGAGGAGTTGAGAAATCGAGATATTGAGAAGTAGGGAACACGAAACAGTAAAAAATCGAGAAATGGAAAATCAAAAAATCGTAAAATCGAATCAAAAAGGTGAAAAATTCTAAATTAAAAAATTCGAAAAATTTAAAAATCGATCAAATGAAATATCTGAAATTTAAAAATTGAAAAATGAAAAAAGTAAAAAGTCGAGAAATCGAAATTCTGAAAAACCGAAAAGAAAAATGAGAAATAGAAAAAATGAGAAATCGAAATTCGAGAAATCAAAAAGTCGATTAATCGAAAAAGTGAGAAAAATCGAAAATTTGAAAAACCGAAAAATCGTAAAATCGAGAAATCGAGACATCAAAAAACTGAAATATTTTAAATTAAAAAATGTTGAAAAATCGAATAATGGAAAAAGTAAAAACTCATGAAATCGGAATTTTGAAAAATCGAAGGCAAATTGAGAAGTAGAAAAATTGAAAAATCGAGAAATACAAAAATCGAAAAATCAAAAAGTTGATTAATCGAAAAAGTGAGAAAAATCGAAAATTTAAAAAGCCGAAAAATCGTAAAATCGAGAAATCCAAACGAAAAAATCGATCAAATGAAATAAGTGAAATTCAAAAATTGAAAAATGGAAAAAGGAAAAACTTGGGAAATCGAAATTTTGAAAAATCGAAGAGAAAGTGAGAAGTGGAAAAATTGAACAATTAAATACTTCAGGAATCCAAAAGTTGAGGAATCCAAAAATAAAAAAGTCAATTAATCGAAAAATTGAGGAGTTGAGAAATCGGGATATTGAGAGTAGGGAAAACGAAACAGTAAAAAATCGAGAAATGGAAAATCAAAAAATCGTAAAATCGAATCAAAAAGGTGAAAAATTCTAAATTAAAAAATTCGAAAAATTGAAAAATCGATCAAATGAAATATCTGAAATTTAAAAATTGAAAAATGAAAAAAGTAAAAACTTGAGAAATTGAAATCGATTAATCGAAAAAGTGAGAAAAATCGAAAATTTTAAAAATCGAAAAACCGAGATCTCAAGAAATCGAATCAAAAAATGGAAACATGGAAAAATGTAAAAATCGAAAAAACGAAAAGTCCAAAATTTAAAAAATCGAAAAATTGAAGAATCGAGAAACTGAAAAATCGATAAATTGAAAAAATCCAAAACTGAAATGATGAAAAATTGGGACAGAAAAGTCGGAAAATCGAAAAACGGACAAATCGAAAAGTTAAAAATTAAAAATTGAAGAATTGAGCAATCGAAATCTCGATAAATCGAGAAACCGAAAATCGTAAAATGGGGAAGTTGAAACATCAAAAAACTGAAAAATTTTACATTAAAAAATTCGAAAAATTCGAGAAATCCAAAACTCGAAAAATCAAAAAGTCAATTAATCCAAAAAGTGAGAAAAATAAAAAATTTTAAAAACCAAAAAATCGTAAAATCGGGAAATCCAGACGAAAAAATCGATCAAATGAAATAATTGAAATTTAAAAATTGAAAAATGGAAAAAGTAAAAACTTGAGAAATCGAAATTTTGAGAAACTAAAGAAAGAGTGCGAAGCAGAAACATTGAAAAATCAAATATTTCAGAAATCCAAAAATTGAGAAATCGAAAAATCAAGATGTCGATTAATCGAAAAAGTGAGAAAAATCGAGAAATCGAAACATCAAAAAACTGAAAAATTTTAAATTAAAAAATTTGAAAAATCGGGAAACCCAAACATCAAAAAACCGTCCAAATGAAATATCTGAAATTTAAAAATTGAAAAATCGAAAATTCGAGAAATCCAGAAGTCGAGAACTCGAAAAATCAAAAAGTCGATTAATTGAAAAATTGAAAAAAATCGAAAATTTAAAAAACCGAAAAATCGTAAAATCGAGATTTCGAAACATCGAAAAACTAAAAAATTTTAAATAAAAAAATTTCTGAAAGTTTAGATTTTTCAATTTTTCGAATTTTTCAATTGTAGATTTTAAATTTTTTGTTGTTTCAATTTCTCGATCTTTTGATTTTTCGATTTCAGCATTTATCGAGATTTGGATGATTCTATGTTTCTCCACATCTCAATTTTTTCATTTTTCAAGTTTTCGATTTCTCAATTTTTCAAATTTTCAATATTTTTCTGTTTTAGGATCTTTTTGTTTTCTTCAATTTTTCAGTTTTTCGATATTTCAATTTTATCAATTTTTCGATTTTTCGATTTGTCGAGATTTCGATTTTTCAATTTTTCGACTTCTCAACTTTTTGATTTCTCGATCTTTTGATGCTTCGATTTCTCGATGTTTCTTTTTTTCAATATATTGCTGTTTCGAATTTTTCATATTCGGTTTTTTTTTTATTTTCGACTTTTCGATTTTAGAATTTTATATTTTTCCACTTTCGATATTTCGTTTTTTCTGTATTTCTATTCTTGGATTTTTCGGCCAAATGAAACATCTGAAATTTAAAAATTGAAAAATCGAAAATTCGAGAAATCCAGAAGTCGAGATGTCGAAAAATCAAAAAGTCGATTAATTGAAAAATTGAGGAGTTGAAAAATCGAGATATTGAGAAGTGGGGAAAACGAAACACTTAAAAATTGAGATGAAAAATCGAATGAAAAATTTTAAAAATTTTAAAATCGAGAAATCTAAACGAAAAAATCGATCAAATAAATAATTGAAATTTAAAAATTGAAAAATGAAAAAAGTAAAAACTCGAGAAATCGGAATTTTTAAAAACCGAAGAAAAAGTGAGAAGTAGAAAAATTGAAAAATCAAATATTTCTGAAATCCAAAAGTTGAGAAATCGAAAAAGTGAGAAAAATCGAAAAATCCGGAAATCCAAACATCAAAAAATCGGTCAAATGGAATACCTGAAATTTAAAAATTGAAAAATCGAAAATTCGAGAATTCGAAAAATCAAAAAGTCCATTAATCGAAAAATTGAGGAGTTGAAAAGTCGAGATATTGAGAAGTGGAGAAAACGAAACACTAAAAAATCGAGAAATGGAAAATCGAAAAATCGTAAAATGGAATAAAAAAAGTGAAAAATGTTAAATTAAAAAATTCGAAAAATGGAAAAATCGATCAAATGAAATATCTGAAATTTAAAAATGAAAAAAGTAAAAACTCTAGATATCGAAATTCTGAAAAACCGAAAAAAAATTGAGAAATAGAAAAAATGAGAAATTGAAATTCGAGAAATCCGAAAGTCGAAAAATCGAAAAGTCGATTAATCGAAAAAGTGAGAAAAATCGAAAATTTAAAAAACTGAAAAATTTTAAATTTAACAATTTGAAAAATTAAAAAATGCAAAAAGTAAAAACTCGAGAAATCGAAATTTTGAAAAACCGAAGAAAAATTGAGAAAAGTAGAAAAACTGAAAAATCGAAAATTCGAGAAATCCAAAAGTCGAGAAATCGAAAAATTAAAAAGTCGATTAATCGTAAAAGTAAGAA